AGATTTTTTTTATTTTAATAATAAAGAGGTTAAGTTCATGCGGACAAAGTCACGGGTAACAGCTAGTATGAATTATAATATATATAAATTTATAATATATATTCTATAGAGACTAATACCAGTACTAATTTAAAATTAACAATACTAGTGTTCCAATTGTTATTTTTTTAACAAAGTTCAAATAAGTTACTATTTAAATAGGGACCATTGAAATATGTGTTTCCCCTACAACAATTGCGTCGATAATAATATGTATCCAATATATACTTTTATTATATTAATTTATAAACCAAATATAGCAATATGATACAATAGGAAAATCCAACACGATAACAGTTATGTGTGTAAATTATTATTTACAGTGAAAATTATTTATAGAGTACTGAGTGTACATACTATAAATAAGTTTTAATAAATACTTAACAGTCTGTTAGCATTTCCTCCCAGTATGAACACGGTGATTCACTGCCCAAAACTGGTGATTGCACTTTCAAGATCGTTTATTTCTCATTTAGGGTCAATAGCCAGTACTGGAGGGGAAGGGAATTGTTAGTAATGTGGACCCTTGACCTCATTGCTAGCAATGTACCATATCGAGTTGACCTCCACGTGGTTCCCCCTGGATCGTGATAAATTCCAGGCGAATTTATCACGATGGCCTAACTGACCTGACTTCATGCTCATATTGTCATCCACTAGCGCCTCTCAAGCGTAAACCGTTACCGCACCATTTCATTACCATATATTAAAAAAATACCCAGTACTGGGTGAAGGCGATTGTTAGCAACCTGGATTATTCTGGATTAATAGCCCCATTACTAGCAATGTACCATTTCAGCGTTGACCTTCACGCTGTTTCTCCTGGATACCACCATGTTAATTCCTGGTGAATTTTCCACGACAGTCTAACTGACCTTTCATCTTATCATCCTTCACTAGTGCCCCGCCAGCGCATATCATTAGAGCAGGTAGAACTCGTTCACGAGTATGACGGATGAGCCAGCTATCTTTGCATTCAACCATATTAGAGGGAGCACATTGACATGATTCTGAGACTGGTCCAAATTTTTATATAAATGACTTAAGTTTTAAGATAATAAACATAAAAACCTACGATGGATATAGGAACCATCTTTTTTTAAGTCGGTTTATAATGCACAAACTTAAAATGTTAGAAGATAAGGACGAAACGATTGTCGCGTATAATGAAGGCCATAGTAATACGAATGTCATACGATGCGTTCTATTCACTCATGTGTATGGTTTCGCTGATAAAACGCGTTTTCATGGTCGAGTTACCGTTGCTTTATACGTTAATTGAAACCTGTATGTAGAACTACTATATGATTATATGAAGCATTCTCTTCTTTAAATTCAATATCTTACTAATATTATAAAACTTTCGTTTTTGATGGATGGAAAACTAAACGGATTTTGATCAAACTTTACTGTAATATAATTTATACATCAGAATAACACATAGGCTATAAATTTGCGGCTGAAGCTCGGGCACAGCTAGTTATTAATAATAATTATCACAGTAAGACACCCTCACTACTGAATAACACTTAAATTCTTAAAGTATTCCGTCCTACTCTATCAAGGCAAAAAATTTATAAATATTGTATCTTACAACTTCCTTGCCTAGATCAGCAAACGCATAACGCAATATTGTAGTACTCTTTTGAACTAATGGGTACCGCGATGTCAAAAAGATGCTATTGAGTTTCAATTGAATCTACACTCTGTAGGGATGATAAGTTTTTTTTATTAAAAATACTACAGTCATTATAACATATTAGCCCTTATTTGTACAAAGGTAAAGACCAAACAGACACACTTTCGAATTTATAATATTAGCATGGAATATATATCGGGATTTGTGGCATTTTCAAGGCCAATTTAGCTTTGGATAGCTTATGTCTGTATACAGTTCAGGTTAAACAACGACGTTTTGCATACCTAGATATTATTGTAGATCATTACATAGTAAAACAAAGTCTTGCTGTCTGTCCATAGGGACAGACAGCGACTTCGACTTTGTTTTATTGCTTAAATCTATGCTTAAATCTTTAAAACGCAACGGATTTGAAGCGGGTTTTTAATAGATAGAGCGATTCAAGAGGAAGGTTTACATGTAATACATATACACCCATGCGAAGCTGGGGCGAGTAGCTAGCTAGAGTAAAATAAATACATAACAATCTAACGTAATGTGTTATGTAAAGCTCTCACAAAATGACCTTGCTTTTTATTTTTTTAGTTTGTTACTTGGTCAGATCAATATGGATTTAAACGACCTTCAACTATACTATTGGATATCGCAAAGACCTGCTCAAGTTCAAGTTCTCTACAGTTATTTATATACAAAATTATATTATCATCATATGATAATATATAATATCTATATGTACAGAAATTTTGATAAGAATCCGGAAGACAGATTATGTTATCTTATCTTTAACAGTTATATTATCAATGGTTGTTATAAAGTGCATGTAAATTGCTATAGTCATTTATCTAAGATACCTATAATACATTGTATTATTTATCAATTGCCTTTTTGTATACATTTTTTGTTTTATTATTGACTAGAAACTTGTAGGTATACGAAATTTCGTGCACCATGTATCGAAATAACGAGTTTCTATACATTTGTTAATCTCGTAATTTACCCGCAGTAAAATTTTCATAAATTCTTCCTTAGTTGATGTTTACATAATAAAATGCATGAAATGGAAAGATTTCAAGTTTCTAACCGCTGTGGTTTATGCTGTGCGTTAATGGATTAGTTAGGATTTTATTTATTTATATATAGGTTTCTGTATTTTTATATACATTTAGTTTAGTTTAGTCTCGAAACAAACAGACTGATACGCAAGTAACAGTCGTACTTGCGAATCAGTCTGTTTGTTTCGAGATAGGAGATAGCCTATGTTCGTGAGGCAGTCTATCCTCTTGCTTTCCGCTCAGCTTTTAATTATGAAAAGGTAACAAACAAACAGAAATAGATACACATTTTTGCATTTATAACATTAGTAAGGACTAGCTCTCGCCAGTAGCTACGGTGTTATTATCTATAGGGATAAACACTGTCATACATTGTTTTTTTTTTCGGACTACTCTAATGCTGTTGGCAGCAGCTGGCCTTTACAGCTTCACCGGACGTTAGTGGGCGAGTGCAGATGGCACTCCAAACTCGCGGAAGGACTTATGGAGCGGCAGAGGGCCAACTCCTGCCTGACGGATACGACGTTAGTCTGAGGGCACCACTAGGAGTTCGAACCTCGGCTCAGGCCGTCGGAATATCGATTCCCGTTTGAATTGGATGGTGGATCGATCGGAGGGGAGTCATACATTGTATTTTTACGTCAAATTTATTAAAAATCACATCAATGGAAAAGCTATGTCCGTGGCCTAAGACCGATGAATTGTCTTGCAGCATTTTGAGTTCTAATGGTGCCGGTCGGTTGGGTATTAACTAAAACCGGAATAGGATTTGAATGCTTTAGGTATTTATGCTTGACCTAACGACCACTATTCGATCTGTCTAGTTTTTGTTAAATTGTTAGGTCAATGCTAATAATCAAAACTTTCTGTATATTATTTTATTGGTTAGCAATGTAATCTATCAAATCGATTTTCATGCGGTCCCGTAAACTGTCGTGTTTTTAATTACGGGTGAATTTGCCACAAAGAGCTAACTAATCTGACTTTATTCTAATCTTATCATCCATATAGAATCCCGTCAGCGAAAACCGTTACCGCAGGCGGATGCATCATTCCATTAATAAAAAAAAACTATAGCTGCTTATAGAGAACTTTTTTAATTCGCATACATTATGATCTAATTTTATAGGTATCCATTGTAGTACGTTCTTTTTCTTTTAATTTTTAACCCCCAAACATGTTTTCGTATTCATTTATCATGAGATGACCTCTATAGTACCTAGGTCTTTTAAGAAAGGAAGTAGAAATTCCCGTAGTAAGTCTTCTGAACTACTCAAGGATTTTAAAACTGTAAATTTTCTGTACTTAGGTAAAAATAGACTATTGTCTCTGTTACAGAATAGAAAACTGGGTTTGTTTCTCTGTTCTGTGGTCTCCATCGATAGATATCTTTATTTTAATCTATCTTTGGATAGTTATTTTTATCTCTATTTAGGGTGGATTTGTATTATTAATACTTAGATTCTAATTAAACTGAGATTGGATGTGTACGGTAGAGTAAGAGACCCGATTGTAATTGGGAATTAAACAAACAAAGGTCGGCCGAAGCTAGTGCTAGCTTGGTTAGGCAGTGTTTTGTACTGAGTATTCGCTTCTTCATATAATCTTGACCTCTATTGGGGAGTTTTAGATCTTTCCAGAGTTTTACCTATAGGTACCGGATTCTATATCTAGTTTGAAAAAAACCCAATCATCAAACTGTTCATGTGGAGGTAATGATAATCTCCTCGTTGTCTGCATGAAGCCATCTTATATAATTTCTGGTGCAAATTTGCCATAGCGTGTTGATTGACCTGGTTTTAAGTTATGACTGGTGCTTGCACACCTGCACATACTCATATAACATGTAAAACTAATGATACCTTGAATTCTTTATTGAAATAAAAGCAAAACAATAGCTCTTATAGCAGATAATAATTTTATTGAATTCATTTTCGACAAATTAATAATCAAGAATCAAAACAAAAGGCATGTGTCATTTACATATCCAATATTTAGATTTATTAATAATTTAATGAGGACAACAAATTATTTGGTCATTTAGTGAGTTAGTTAGTTAGTTGACTTACATTATAATAATGTAAAATTATTTTAACACGGTAATAAATAAAATCAATGTCGCTCGTATTTAATTTAACGGATGACGTCACTACCAGTTATAATCTGTGTAGAATGAAAATAAACCAGCTAATTTAAAGAGATCGCTCCGGTGAAGAAACAGTTCAATGTGGAATTGTTTTCTAAATTTATACATTTATACTCAGTCTCCTGTCAGTTTCCGTTCACGTATGTTCATCTATTTTGTCTCTTCGTAAAAAATATTTTTCTTGCGAATTCTAACGTAATTTCAATATAATAGTGTTATATTTTGATTTGGCATATTATTGTGGTGTTGTGCGTGAATAAATTACATGAATTGATAGTGTATTTCTAAGATTAATTGTGTGTTCTTGAAATATTATTTTGGGGCCAGTTTGTAGTGGTTTCTCACATTTTAATGATGACCTCAGTTGTTTAGACTGTTTAGGATGTAATAAAAAGTGATACTGATCAAATGTATGTCCCTTTAAATACCATATGAATTTTATCCATGACTTTTTCTAGAACAGCATTTCGACACGGGGTGTACTACTGACCTATATAATAAATAGAAAGCATGTCCAGAGTGTTTCTATTATTAATAAAAGGATGTAGATTAATATATATCCTAAAATAAACCTATATCATCAATAATGTAAAATAAATATTATGTGTATATATGTTACAAAAGTTTTAAGAATAAAAATTAAGTATTACATATTTATATCCATGTATTTTATAAAAACTTACGTCTAGTTACATGTTAAGTAATATATGGTATTTTAATAAATAGTAGAGTAAGATAAGACAGAGATCAGACATCTTGTAAGACTGACAATCTTATATTATACTTAAATTACATGTTAAAAACTATCTGCTATGATAATTCTGATGATTTAAATTATATCTAATCATCAAATAATTCTTCATATTGTAAATAAAGACTGATATAAAACTGATAAAACATGTACCAATATTATTTATGATTTAACCGAGAAACTAGACAAGTGTGGCTATGAATCAGACCTAGATTAAGAAAGTTTTTATATACATTCCACCATTCAAAGTAAAAATTACTTATATTATAATGTTAATATACTTGTAAATTTTAATTATATGTGAATATAAAGCTAAATAAATGAAATACCATAGGAACAAAAGTATTTTTTCACTATATAAACATTTGTCCTAGTAAATGCATTAATTTATAATATATAGCTTAAACAACTGAGGTTAAACAATTGAAATTGTGATTATTAGATCCTTTATGACAAAGGTATCCCCTAATATAGAATTTTTTTAAATTCGCATGGGGTCCGAAGTTATTGTCTCCTTATATAAGTCATAAGAAACTACAAGTTGAAATATGCATTGCTTGTGTTATTGTATAGGTTTTATATCATTCCCCATGCACACCAGCTCTGCTTTGTATATGTATTTGTGATAGTATGAGGTTAACATTTAAACCAATACACAAAATATTATTTGTATTTACATGTGTAAAGAGAAACAATATTTTGTGTATTGGTTTTAAGACTAATCTGATATAATGCATGTATGCATTATATAAATGGGATATTTAACATGATGATATTATTTATGAGGTCCAGATATTTCAATGTTGTTACAAACAATCCTGGTCATGGGTCGTCAATGTCAATCTGATACATACTGTGTATTAATGTAGTCAGAGAGACCAGCACCTGTAAAATGTGGCTGTAAAATGAAGTATCCCTTTTCTGTATCTAAGCTATATGAGACATGCCTAATGCCTAAAAGTTATTTTGTCTAAAGATTAGGAGAGAATTATAGGGCTACATTATTATGTACAGTAGCCCTATAATTCTCTCCTAATGTCTCTACTCATATTTTAGATTTTTACACAGTAAAATATTGTTGTATCTTATGAATTCTGGACCTTATGGTTTACAGTAGGTATATCGTTGACATGTTTGTTACACAATTATATTTATAGGATGAGAAGGATATCAGTATAATTTGCTAGGCAAGTAGATTATATTAACTATTTTGACATAGACAGTAGATCTTTTAGTCCAAGTCATCAATAAAGCTATACAGGCTTTAATTAAAGCTTTTAGAGTATAAAAGCCTAAAAGATATTTATGATTTTGGATAAATTTACCTAAAATGAGTTGTGTACAATAAAATATTTTTTTATCAATTTAGTGTCATTAGTCAAATATTTGTTTTCATATTTCTATCAAGTATATGAGTACAAATGTTGGACTTTTCTTGGTGAAAGTTTCATGAGTATTCTACCTGGATTTTGGCTAGTCCTTTCTGCCTAACCCTGTATATGGGTACTTAAAATACATACAGTTAATTTTTTTTTCTAAATTATAGTAAGTAGTAGAAATAAATCATCATATGTAAGGTATAGATGTAACTACATTACAGCATACAGGGATACAAGTGAGAACAGCTGTTTTTAAAATTCAATTTACACATAAAATATTTGAATTTATACAGGATGTTTTTGTTTATAAAATTACAATAGGGACACGAAATTCCATTATTATCGTATAGTAATGTATAATGTATAAGGGCATTCTATATGCCCTTTTGAAGGCAATGCAGAAATTTGGTAGCATCCTATATATATAGGTACATGCTCAAAAACAAAACCTAATACAAGGTGTGTACAATTAGCGTATTATATCCGAGGTTCACGATTACGTCACTATAAATGGTGATTCGCTCGACCTCCAGTATCTGGTGTACCTACTACAGACTGCCATTAGTTAGTACTGTGATCACATCACACGAAACTAGTCACTGCCGCGACTCGCCAACTTACAATTTTATTGTGCTATAGTAACTTGTGATAATTCGTTCAGTGTCAATCGAAGGAACCAGTTATTTTGACATTCAAAAATTTGTCAAGGTCTATTCTTAAAGCAGGTCATCGGCCATGTTAGCTTAGTAGGACCAGTATCACCCTTATCAGTACAGTTAAGCCGTACCCATAGTGCTTATTTCATACTTAACTCAGTTACCTGTCAGGGATGGTGTTACCTACCTGTGTATACATCCATATCAGGGAAATCAGTATTATATAACTTCAAACTGTGAACCTTGTACAACACAATTAATTGTCTAATAAATAATCAACAACGAGAATAGTGGGTTCTGCATTTATTGTACACAAAAAATCATAAAAGTATATATATTTATTTTTTATTTATATAATTTTAATGCAGGTAACACAGAGGTAAAAGTGCGTGAGAAATCTGATCATTCACTGACTGAATGTTCTCTATGGGAGGGTGTTAACAAGTAGCTAGCCAAACTGAACGATAGCGATAGTCATATTATATGTTGACTTTGTTAAATGATAGAAAATGTAAATGAATATTGCATTTGACTCTTTATTCTTTCAAATTTGAACAGACAATTGTAGCTCAGTTTCTGAGAGACCTATAAAAGGATAGATCGTCAACACAGTGCCCTCGCGCTGCCTTCACATGTAGTATAGTATACTATATAAAAATATATTCGACCCTAATTGTTAACTCGTAAACAGTCATGGTTACAGTGTCATTGAGCAAATTCGGCATTTAGTGGACGACGAGTTTCCCACTATTAAAACCTTACAATTCTGAAACAATTAAACTTAGTTACACAGCGCGGTGGTATTGGTCTTTACAGAAGCTGCCACAACATACATTGTAATTTTAAATATACTAGATTTTTTTTAATACATGATAATAGAATGGTGCATCCGCCTGCGCAAACGGTTCAAGCTAGCGGGGCACCAGCGGAGTATGATTACATGAGCATAGGGAAGGTCAGTTACAGGAACTACATAATCACAATGGTTTCCAGGGGGAACCCCGTGAAGTTCAACCTGACATGGTACATACATTGATAGTTATTAGTCCTGATTACTAACAATTCCCTTCTACTGTATATTAACTAGATAGTTACTAAGCCTTACAATAGGTAGGTATGTATCGTACATAAATATTAAATATGTATATTTTTCTATAGATTATACATAGGTATATGCACAACACAACAATAATATTTTGCCAAATGAAACATCATAATAATGATTTATTAATTTGTGTATAGTGAACAATAAAAATGTCTTAGCGGTACGAAAGAAAAGTGTAGTGTAGTGTGAAGCCTCGCAATGGCGGGGCAAAATGGAGGGAATTTTGGCTCTCTATTGCAAGGTGCGGGGAGACAATTGTTGAACCAGGGTGGGCAAGCGTTGTTGAACTATGGAGCCCAGGCTTTGGGGAACATCATCAATGAGGTGTTCCAGAAGAAGGAAGTGGAACAGAAGAGATATTTGCCGAGCATTAAGAACTATAAAGTGGTATGTATCTTACCGACTGTTGAAGGCGACCTTTTTGATAGATTTCATTGTTTTTTATATTATGATGATATGACGTTATGTTCCTATTGTTTATAGGGATTATTTATATAATGCCATTGTACTTTTTGTCATTACTATTTATTTCCTTCTCACATACCTACTATAATAGATGTTATTAATAATAAGAACCTAAGACCGTCTACGGGGTATCCGTAGGGGCACCGCACATGTCGTTACTATAAACGTAATTACGTTATTATAAATATGTACTAGTATTTACATTACAATGATTAGTTGAAGTTCAAAATTAAATATCTTAGATATATGCATTTCAATATATCTTTGAATTATTTAAATAATGTGTAAAATAATAAGACAAACAATATATACTAAATAAATAATCAAAACTATTCAAAACATACAGAGTCACATATAATCAATTAAAATTGTAATAAATATTGTTTATTCTAAATAAATGGAAGGGTTTAATGTCTTCTTTATAAGGGATAAAATCAAAGAAATACTCTACCGTACGGTTTAGCGGTTCAGCGCACCGCCTTACTTTCAATGATCGTCGGTTCAATTCCTTGCACGATCTAAACATTTGCATTCGTGACTATATTGTTGTTTGTATTGGTCTGCGTGTTTTCTATGTATACCTATTATGTATTTACAAAACGTTCTGGTATTCTACCACTTGTCTGGTACCTATGGGTACCAATGCACAAGTTCTTCTTAGCTTGGGACTAGACGGCGCTGTGAAAATCATTGAGGGTTATTATTATTATATCAATGGACTTCTAAATGCTCGGAATTAGAGAAGAAACAAAATTATTTCGACATCTCCAAATTCAATCTACTCATACAAAATCTCGTCAGTTACGCGTACATTTAACTGGCCACGATTTCAGCACGCCGCCTTCACCTATTTAATGGGCATCGTCCGTCTAGGGCGACCCCTACCAACATTTCGACATGTACTCGTTTGATAAATATTTTACTACACAACAACATCAATATTTGTCATCTATACTAATATTATAAACTCTAAAGTGTCTGTCTGTTTATTGCCTTTATACAACTAAACGCCTGAACATATATATTGTTTATTTATTAAATTGCATTCCATAATGTCACAATAAAGGTTGATATAATATTAATGTGAGAGCATCATACAGGTTAAAGGTGATGAATATTGCTCTAGCAGATTTTAATTATTTTGTATATTTTTTTCTGATCTATGTGTGACCGCAGTTCCACAAGCTTTTAATTTATAGACTCTGTTTTATTCTGATGTATAAGCTATACTGTAAAGTTTCATCAAAATTCGTTCAGTATTTTTTGCGTGAAAGAGTAACAAACATCCATCCATATATCTAGCAATACTCCCAAACTTTCGCATTTGTAATATTAGTGAGATATTACTGATTTTATTATTTACAAGTTATCTACCTGTTATTGTATTACGAGGACTTACACAAAAAAGCAGACATCTAGTAGTACATTACCATCCGGTCAACAGCCACTATGTACATTTAATATGAACAGTATAACATCCTAAAATTATAATATTAATGTTACTTAATATTATTTATATACATAATTTTGTAATGACGAACAGCTTGGCATAACCTCAAGTTGAACTTGATGTGGGAGGTAATAGTAGGTACAATCCTCTAATATTAATAACTCCCACATGGGTAAAGCATTGGCTGGCGTATTAGAAATGTTTTTATCTGATGTACTTTATACTAATCGGTTTCGTCTTATAAATACATTAATTGTTACCCGCGATTTTCTTTGCTGTTTACACAAATTTTTTGTGTGTTATTTGAATAATTTTTTATCAGATTATTTTGTTAGGTAGAAGGTAGAAAATAGGACGGACGGCGTCCTATTTTCTATCTATCTATATAAATATGCGCCTACGTATATGCTTGAAAGATGCTTAAACTTATTTTTTAGGCTGTAGATTAAACATAAATAAATATAACATTCAAAGTTTTCAAAAAATTACCTTTGAGGGCGTAAAATAAAATGGGAAATGAAAGTTTCTATGGAAATTCGATATATTTGATGCTAGAACGACGAAACTTTTTTATTTTGATGTTTAGGGTTAGATTTTATTAAATATTTTTTCTTATTTCGGTCAAGATCACTATTTTACGCGGACGATTTGGCGGGCACAGCTAGTAATAAAAATAATTAAGGATGTCGATTCTTGATTCTGGAACGTAACAAAACTAACCGTGTAACGGTGTTGCCGTGCAATTCAGTAAATTCGCCACATAGCGATTCACAAAATTGAAACAGATATCAACTTCCTCGGATGAGTAATCATTGTAACGTACAGTCGGAACCATCAAACGATAATTCCACAATTGCCTTGACATCATTCTAGATCTAAAGCAATTGTTTCAATTACATGTACATTTAAGTGTATAATCTCATATGTCCAGTGAAGAATAGAAATAGAAATAATCTTTATTCAAATAAACTTAATATAAGCACTATTGAATAGTCAAGTTTTTTTATTCTACTGCTCATTCGGAATGCAGACTCGTCACAAGAAGAATGAGTAATAAACTGGTGTGTTGCTCTTTTAAATAAATATTGATTTAATTTTACTTACACTAACAAGGATTAGGCATCCGATAATCTACATAGAAACCACTACGCACTTTATCTCTTCAATCAGATAACATTGTCAGCGCTATCAATTTGAAGTTAGATATTTTCTACAAAAACATTATTATCATTCATAAATTCTTCAATTCAATAATAAGCTTTTTTTACAAATAAAATAATTTATAAGACAATTGAATCTTTTTTCTGGCAAATTGAGTACAGACTCTGGCAGTTTGTTGTAAAATCAATATGATATTGATGAAGAATGAACTTAGCATGCCATGAAATTACCGTGCGAGTGCTGAGACCATCGCGTGACAGAGAGCAAAACTCCAAGCAGTTCTCGGGACTTGCGAACCGGGAATAAGTTAGGTTAGGTTTTTTATGGATAATACTTGAGAGCAGTAGACCAGTGAAAGATGATAGGATGAGCATGAAGTTAGACCAGTTAGCCCATCATGACGGATTCAAAAGGAATTAACCACATGGTTTCCAGGAGGGTCCGCGTGGAGGTCGCCCATAGTAGTATATTGTTAGCAAGGGGTTACTATTCCCCTTTACTAACAACCCCTTACCTCCTAGTGGGGGTTAGGTTAGGCATTATTTTATAACTGGTGTCAAACATTACGTTTTGCTTTAATGACAATTTTTAGAATAATATAATTTTTGAAGGACTCGGGTGTAGGTTAGGTTAGGCATTATTTTACAACTAGAATCGAATCTATTAGGTCTTGTTTTTATAAGAATTTTTAAGAGGTTTTTATTGAGGATTTTAATATGGCAGTTTTACTACGACACGATCAAAAATGACAGTGTCTTTCAACGTTGTCACGTCTCACCGTCAAGCATTGCGTAATAATGATTTAAGACATGTATATGATTGTGGCTTAATACATTATTATTATTATACACAGATACATTTTGCCACTCTATGCGCAGACGTACATGTTCCCAAAAGTTTTAAACCAAAAAGGAACTACACACACACCACACACTACCGACCTTGTCACAGTGTCATTTGTGACACTCCCCGTGTCACAAATAAGTCACTTCACACAAACGTGATTGTGTGAAGTGACTTATTTTCCAAATTTACACTGTTGAACGAGTTTAAACTCATCAACAAGACAATTTAACCTTATGTTAATACTTATGAAGTTGTAAATATTAAGAATATGTTTCGTTATTAGTTATTAGTTTAATAGTTACGTATAAGAATCATGACGTCACAAAATTTAGTCATATTTTGATTAACCCAGTGCGTTGGCTCGATATGTATCGTAATTTATAGACGCCTCCAAAGGCGAAACAAAGCGAATTCCTTATGATGCGTTTTTGTCCAACCTCGGTGGTCTAGCGGTTTAGCACATCCCGTTACTAATGATGGTCGCGGGTTTGATTCCTCGTACAATACAAACATTTTTATTTTGAATATTTAATTAGTGCTTATGAGTACTAATTAAATATGGTACCAGTCTGTGTAGTAAAACGTCAGATCATTCTCGAACTGATTTTATTTAATGAGGTAATTCTATATAATAAAGCAACACAAAACGTGCAACATACCCACATAAATTAATATTATAAAATTATTACTACAGTCTGTGTGTTTTATGAATGTATTTTTGTAAAATTCATTTAAGAATTTATATTAGTTGTTTAGTATCTAGTATAAGTACTAGATGGCGCTATGATATTTTTATTGGTTCGGCTTTGAAACAGTTTTTAATATCTTTGATAGAAACACAATGCAACTAAATATTTTGAAATAATTCTACGCGTGTTCAGTTTATAAAAAACATACTTAAAATCGTTAGTATATCGACAATAAATAATATAAATACGCATTATTAAGGTCTCAAATAGTATAGGTTAGATCTTGAAGAAATTTGTATAGGCGGTCCTATAAACAAGTAATAATCAAAATCGGTGTATGTGGAAAAAAGCGCTGAGTTAATTTCCATAAAATATACAGTTGAATTGAGACTATCCTTTTTTAAGTTGGTCAACAGAAACAATATTATTAACCGACTTCAAAAAAGTAGGAAGCTTTCAAATATATTTTGCAGAAGTATATTTTGCATGATACCTCGGACTTTTTTCTTGCTGTCTCTGCAGGAGTATTATTTTCTAAATAGACCAACTTTTATATGTATAAGTGAGATATCATTAACGGTTTCACCGTTAATGATATCTGTAATATTTTTATTATTTGCATAATCTGTAATATTTTTTTTATTACTGTGTACATTTCGCACTAACACTAAATGATTGATAACGAAAAGAGGAAGGTCACAATGCAATTATTTTGACGTTAGTTAGTCGCAGCCGATAAACCTAATGTTAGCGTTTTGGTAAATCATTTATTAAAT